ATGGACATTAGCAATCCAAGGAACAATGGTGATACATTGGGTGCTGATTGTGCACGTGAAACATTGGTGTTAGACCCTCCATGTGTGAGAGAAAAAGAAGTCACAAATGCTCGCAAGAAAAGCTATTTGGAGAAGAAGAAGCGAAGGAAGAATGGAGGTTACACATGTTCTCAATCCGGTTTTGAACCAGGTTAGAAATCCTTTTGTGTTAGATTGCTATTGGTATAAGATATTGGCTTTAATCATCTTACATTTCTTTTTCTGTTTTTAACAAAGGAAAAAGTAGACCACCTTATAATGACGGGACTAGCTTTTCACCCACCAGTCCAATCACCTGGCATGCCCCTACATGTTAACTTTCATATTCAGGTATGTTGTTTCTGCAATTTTTATTATCTTAATTAATATATTTTTTTTCATGTGTTTTATGAGTTTATATAATAATGTAGATAACTCCATAGATTGTTGCATTCTCGTGTATTGCAAACTTGCCCAAAAATACACAGGTTTTTAAAATTTCATATCCCTATGTTGTCTTACATGTCATATCATTGTATTAACTATTTGACTAATTGATACATAGTGTAAGGGTAGAACTCCCTACTAAGGATTTCGGCTTGACCTGGATTAATCCACGCGGGCGACCCCCCAGTAGCCTTTATCTCTCAGTGCCCGCAAGAGCTTCGTCCCATATTGACTGAGAGTCGTCTCTCTCCCTCGCATGTAAGCCCTTGCACTCGAGGGGGAGAGATGACTCTCAGTCGATGTGGGACGAAGCTCCTGCGGACACTGAGAGGTAAATGCTACGGAGGGGTCGCCTGCGTGGGTTAACCCAGGTCAAGCCAAAATTCTTAGTAGAGGGTTCTACCCTTTACACATAGGATTTCAATTCACATTGGTCTTTTGTTAATCCTATCTCCAATTTTGCTATCATGCTTCAGCGTAATGATTAGATGTTACATCTATCTCAGGTATTGCATTTAAAGAATTAAGACAATGTAATAAATGTAGTGTATTATAATTGGTTGTAAATAATTTTAAAATGTGCATGCAGGACTCTTCGAACAAAATTGCTGAAAATGATATGAGCATGAAGCTACCAGACTTGAGTCATGGTGGCCAAGATATTTAAGAATGTTCTCCACAGCACTTCTGGGGAAGAATGTCAACTGACATGGAAGACCATTTACTCTTTTCATACTAGCTACTTCACTTTAAGCAAAGTGCACAATGCTCTGTAATATAAGTTTCATCATTTTTGCAGTTGAATTTGCATATTTGAGGGGTTTTGGTTACGTTTGTGATTTTGTCCAATCATCCTACCAAACATGATGCCTAACTTATTATCTAAGGAATGAGTTGTACCTCATATGAACAGAAATGGCCATGTGTATGTAGCTATGAAATGGCCACAATTCCTGAATTATCAAATGACCGAGGTTCCAAGCACCAGATTGCTACAAGGAGATATTCAAGCACCAGTTTTGCTGTAAGAAATACAGTAACTAAATAGGTTCTTCAATTGGAGTGGATTGTAAGAAATATAGTAATTAAATGATTCTACAATTGGAATGATATGACCACTAAAAATAGAAAATGGAATAGATTGAACAAAAGAACTTAGAGACTATTGTCCAAAACTTTGGGACTGTGGCCCAAATGGCATTGTACTCTGAAAGTCAAATTTTCAGATGTTCAGTATTTGATAATAGCCAAGGAGTAAACTTGACTCGGTCAATCCCCAAGTAGCACCAACAAAACTAGTAGTTGAGTAAACCCACTTATTCTTATTAGTCTAAAATCTACAATGACAAGTTACAAACAATCAACAACACAACATAGATCTTGACCCCATGGTTGCAGCACTAGAAGATTGAATAAACAATGCCGCATAGCACTCAGCTTATAATAGCATGTTTGGTTTTTATAGTACACAATGTTGTTCTGTTGAAAACTATTTTTTTTTTTAAGAAAAATAAATTTTTATTGAATGAATAAAAGAATTACAAGAATTTAACAAGTCAACCAAAAATACATTCCAAGGCTTTAATCCTTCAAAAAAAGCCAGAAAACAACAACATGCCAACCATGGAAGCAACCATTCCAACCCAGCAGCATGAAGAGTACTCCCTAGGAAATTAGACTCCCTTCCTAGAAAAATCATTATAGAGGCAGTGTACCTCTACTAACTATTTTCTGTACTCTAGCAGAAGGCAGCAAGCTCTGATCCCATTGCAGCAGAATCCTTCCAACAGTCGGAAACACACCACTGACTGAAAAATCAGCAGACCATCCCAGTTGCACTGCAAACGATGCCAAGAGATCAGCAATTCCATTAGCCTCCCTGATTACATGCTTAATCTGTACATTCAAAGTACCAAACAAAAGCCCAATTTCCATAATAGCCTTCAGTCTACATGGTACCTCTGCCTTACCCAACACCATCTGCACCAGTACTTGTGAATCAGATTCAATTATAGTCTGATAATCCACAAGCCCATACTGCAAAATAAAATTCAAACCACCTAATAAATCCATAAAACTATAATTCGTGGTTAAATTCTTTATGATTCCTTCATTACATGTGACAATTTCTCCATACAAATGCGCAACCATAGTTTCAGGCATCAAACAAAAGGAAAATAAAAATTTTTTATAAAAAAGGAGTCAACTTTCACCATGCAGAGCCATAAAATTAGAGACGATGAGACTATTGGATGGCATGGAGGAGGATCCGTTTCCCTTGGTTTAGATGGTCTGAACTTGTAGGAGTAATTCACTGCCCGTTGTGCTATCAATTTTAGATCACTGACCTCTCGGAAGACATCTATTAATTAATTTTGGGAATCCACCTACAAAGATGACATGCCTCAAAAATCAATTGAATCTATAGTTGGGACAAAATCCATGAACTACTTAATTCCTTGTGCCACTTGCCGTGACATGTCAGACCCCAAAATTCTTAACTTGCAAACTGAATTAACCATTTACCAAACGATAGCCTGACCAACAGTTCCTTGTGCTGCCTGACCAACAGTTCCTTGCTTAATTTCTTCATCCAAAACTTTACTAATCTTTTCACTGACCTCTTTGATATCAGGATTTGGATGTGGATTCTGCAAATTTGATGCAACCTATTAATATTGAAAATCCAATAAAGTATAACTTAAATTAATGCCTTAATAATCATTAAGCAACACACATATATTCAAAATATACACATTCAAGAAACATACTGAAATAAAAATTTTCATCCCCTAAACCAGAGTTGGTCCATCATATTATACCAAAAAATAAACAAACCTATTTAACTATTTCACACTTTATCCTTTTGCTATAATATTTAAGCATGCTGACTTGCAATATTTCACTGTTTAATCAAACATAATAGAAAAACGACGAGCCGACGATACCCAGAAGCCAAGGAAGGTAGTACAATCAGGGGGCGGAACTAGAATTTTTTTCAGTGGGGGCAACCATCAAGTTAAAGAGAACCAAATACAACCATCAAATTAAAGAGAATGATTACTCAACAATTATCAAAGTTCGTTGCATCTAGTGAAAATATTTATTATCTCAAAATTTCGTTCTCTATAAGAAAAAAATTCCTAATCTAACACTTTTTATAAAATAATTCTTCATATTATTTTTTTTACTTTCAAAGATTTTAAATATAAGTACATGTGAAAAAATGATAGCCGACTATGAAAAACTAATATAATTTTTTTTTCAAGCATTAGAATAAAAGACAGTTTTCATAGAGAATGCTATTTTGACATATCATTTCGTGAGTGTGCTTGTCAATGATAAGATTTTAACTCATTTGAATGACAATTTGTCTTGAAAACCCTATTTTGAATTTAATCTAATTATTCAACTGATTTCGTTTTTTTAATTCATATTCGAAGCTATTAAATATTATGAATTTTATGAAAAATCCAATATTATATATATATGTGTGTGTGTGTGTGTGTTGCATTGTAATTTTAATTCAATTTAATTGTTTAGTTTTATCAAATGTTTACATATACATATTTGTGTCTGCATATCAAATTGAATCGAAGCAAATTGAATTGAATCATAATTAGATTAAATTTTTTTATGCGTCTAAATCTAAAATCTTAGAAAATGATGTAGTATATTTAAACTTAGATAATTGGTCAAAAATATGTATCTATGTCTTAGTAATCGAACTTGTAGAAGAATTGATTCAGTAACTTAAGTGAGTCATTGTAAAAGGAATAAAGATGATTACAGATTAAAAAAAAAAGATGAGATTAAGTTTCTATGAGTGAACCTTGAGTCTAAATTTTTAGTGCATTAAAAAAAAATGAGTGGGGGCAAGTTATTAAAAAAAATAATTTTTACTATAATTTTAAATTAACCCTACAAATTTTCAGAATTTCAATGGAGGCAATTGTCCACTGCCCTTACCCTGCCTCCGCCCTTGAGTACAATCTTGGTTTTGTTGTTCTCTGCGACTCCTTATCTTCTGTGAATGCAGTCCATCAGAAAATTGGAATCAATGTTGGTTGAGAAAGCTGATGGATGTCTGGAACTAGAGAAGCAAAGGGGAAGATATCCAAACCAAATGCCGGGGACAGTGGCTGTGGAGTAGCACAGGGGGCATAGGTTTTCTCGTCCAGAGTTTCTTGATGTCCTACAAAACTGCTTAGTTGCCGATTGGAAGTTTAACCGGGAAGTTTAGCTGAAAAGCAAAATGGAGAAATTTGGCGAACATCCATAAAATATTTTGGCGGAGAGATTAAATTCAAAAAAATTTGGAGACGTTTGAGGGGCAACTTCCGACATTAAATTCAGAAGGGTCAAAACGTTGTACAACTGATTTCTTTGTTGACGTGACATATTTTATGATGAGAATATTAGCCATAGAAATGATAAAATTTGGTTGGTTTGTTATACCATGTCAGCAAAGTGACATGTGTATAACCGTTGTAACCAATATTTTTCTCCCAATTAACACATTGAATCATTTTCTCCAATAATCAAACCCGTCAAAAACCTTTCTTCTCATTTTCACCCGCCAACCTTGTGGGAAGCCATTTTTTCAGACTTTGAACGAAGTCTGACTCTCTTATTTCACAAATTTTCTTTTCTAAATTCTGCCAACCTATAAAGCTTGAAAGTTAGAGGAAAAACATAGGAATAGGAGAGTTTTTCCAGATGAAAAAATCTGGAGGGAGAGGTAAACCATCAGGGATTTCAACCAAAGTAAGAAAGTCTCCCATTTTGGAGTGCTTGAAAAAGCCTTCATCTTCACCATAAAAGAGAGGTACTCATATCATTTGACTGATAGATCCATGAACACATTATACACTTGAGAGTCATCAAGCACTATCAAAGTGAGGAAGAAAATACTACTTAAAAACTTAGAAATCCCAGAGGGTTTCACCCACCAAAACCTAGCAGCCTATCATCAGTGTGCTTAAAGCAAATAAATCGTCAATGTGCACCACCGAATCTGAAAGTGAATAGCCTCTCCACCAAAGAATAATTTTGTACTAATTGCGCCGATCTGAAAGCCAGCAAACTAGCAAGACATGGAACCTACGAGAAAACATAGAAATCCACTGGGAAACAGAAATCCGCATATCCAGAGGCACCACTGAATCTGATTCCCCATCTTTTCATATTTCGTCTTGTTATTATGCATTTGAAACAGAGGAAATCATAGTGAATTTTCTATGATTTCAAATTTATGAAGTATTTGCTTAAAAGCTATAATTTTTCTGAAAGCAAAAACAATAAAAACAGAAGAAAGGAGAGAAAGAATTGGCAAGAGAGTGCAATGTTTGTTATAGAATTTATAAATATACTAAAATACCCTCATTTAGTCAATTAATTTTCACTTCAATACCCTCTTTTGCACCTTGTTGAGAGTATTAGTGTTGAGGCTTATTAGGGGTGACAATTTTTGATACGACACGATAACTAGATACGAAACACGATACGGATAAATGAGTTTGAGTTGACTAATTTTTTGATACGACCCGCCAACACAAAGTGTTAATTTGTTCGGGTTCAACCCGTTTAACACGAATTGACCCGTCAACACAAAATTTTTAATTCGAAGGAGATTGACCTGACCTTTTCGTTGTATGTATGAGTTTTCATGTTTTGATGACTTATTTTTTCTATTACTTCTGATGTTTAATTTGGTTGTTTGATGTACGATTAACATATTTAATTAGTATTATATAAATAAAATATTAATTATTAGTAACTGTTTATCAAGCATTGACATAATTATTGTATAAAAAATATACTATTACTCATTATTGTTGTTATTATTATTATTAAGTTAATTTTTAGTTTGTAGAAAAAGTACGAGGAGAGATTCAATTAAGTGAAAATAAAATCTTAACGTTAATTTTTTTATTCAAAATTTATGTAGGTCAACACGAATATGAACATGAACACGACACAAAAATAAACAGGTCAACTCGACACGACACAAAAAGTCAAATGGATTGGGTATGAGTTGACTAATGTTCGACACGACACAAACCCGACACAAAACGACTCGATTGCCACCCCTAATGCTTATTGCTTATGTTGTAATAAGTGTACCCATGTATGAGTATACTTGTCTTTTAGGAGTATTATCTAGATGTAAATATATGTTGAAAGTGAGAAGCAGGTTTGAAATTTTCTCTCCTAAATTCTCACAATTTCTTCATAATTATTCTCTCTTAAATCTCTAATCTTTACATGCTAACATAGCATAATCTTAGGGTTTGTATCTAATAGGCTTTCCCTCTATTTATTTTCTTCTCTTCTTTTCTAATTGGTATTTTTTGCTCCCACCAGATTTCTTGCTATTTATAGCAACTCAGAATAACATGTGTATGATTGTTGGTTGTGGTTTAGATATGAATTTCTGAAGGAGATATATAGTGTATCAGTCATGGGTGTGGGTTATGGGTTACGGGTTGCAAGCGCGTGTGGATGTGGTCCAACTATTGAGAAAGGGTGCGATGGATAGGAGAAAGAATTGGGTTGGGTGTTTGTGGAACGTTGGATCAATTTTGAATTTATATGGATTAATTTAAGTCATTCTTATGCTTTCTCAAATGAATTAAATGTAGAATAATTTTTGAAGAAAAAATGAATTCAAAATGCACTCTGTCTTATTACCGTACTGGAGATGAGCCAGATTTTCTATGATGGATTGTGCTGATCCGAGGTAATGACAAGGAAACTGTCAATTGAAAGAGACTAATCAGATCTGAGGTTACCCATCATCTCCACCAATGAAAAGTCACCTTGTCCAAGAAGATTGTGCCTATCAAGGAATAAATTTAGGGATTCCATCTCTAAAAGATCTATAAATGTACCAATCACACATCCAAAGATAATGTATTCAATCTCCCATTCATCTATATTTGCTGTAAATTCGATCATCCTCTTATTTTCACCCATTTTACACAATTGCATATACGTTACCTAAAAAAAAAATGACAGTGTTTCTTACATTATTGATGCAATTGGCTATTTTAAATTGCGAATGGTACAAGGAAATTACAGGGAAACTACCCATTTAAAGAAGCTATCAAGGTTGAGGTAAAATCTTCCCAATGTTAAGAGTGATCAAAGACAAACTGGTCTACATCAGCCTGATAGGATGAGCTGACACTCTCTCATTGGTTCCTAGGCCACCTGAATTCTCATTAATGGGAAGTCATATCTTCAACTTTCTGCATTGCCCCCCTCTCCAATACCTTTTTATCACTATTATTCCCACCAATTAGGAGGGGAAGTCCCCTCCCAAAGCATCGACTTTTCACAAGATTGTGTTTTCCCAGTAATAAAATTTTGGGATTTCAACTTTATGAGATCTACAAATTAATATGTCAAATACATTTCCAAAACCAATGTACGCAGTAGTCTCTAATTCATCTACATTTGCTATAAACTCCCGCATTACTCTTGGCTTCACTCATATAATACAAGCTGCATATCTATGGCATGTCTACATGCTTGCTACCTTACCATAATCAATAATAAAAAACATGTTCATAGAGTAACGCTGCGTTTGATACAGAGGATTAGACTTTAAGAATGAAATTATTATTACTTACGAATGTCCATTTCATTGTTTGGTTTGTGGTAATGAAAATTCTTTCATTCCTAATCATTTTTTAGGAATAACTAATACCACAAAGTATAGGATTACAGATTACCAAATTAAGCATGGTATTGCACATTCCCAAATTGGTGGTAATAAAACCCAATTGATCTGACCAAAAAACCCGATGGTCTCGATCTCTTCCCCTTCTCTGTTTCTTTGTTCTCTTTTCACTCTTCGCCTTCTTCCCTACTACCCATCGTCTCTCTCTCCTCACATCACCTCAATGACTACTCCTCCCTTACCAGGAACCATGGCAGTACCTCTATTCTTTGCATCCTCATCTCCTCATGATGTAAGGGACCATAACAACTATCTGTTGTCTACCCTGTATGCGCCCTTAATGGATGTCAAGGATCCGCTATTCTGGCAGCCTTTGATGATGCAATTGGTGACGGTGTTGATGTGCTTTCACGATCACTTGGAGATTCAGCAGGGATGTAGATCAAATTTTCATTTGATCCAATCGCCATTGGATCATTCCATACGGTTGAGAAGGGGATTATGGTGGCCTGCTCTGCTGGGAATGATGGGCCTTATCCCTGTTCTGTTGTGCATGTTACTCCTTGGATTCGGACTGTTGCTGCCACCACCATTGATCGTGATTTTGAATCAGATGTTGTGCTAGTTGGAAATAAAGTGATTAAGGTAATTAGTGAACATTCCATCATACACAGTTTCAACCAATCGTACTCATAGTAATGGTTCAATTTTTTCTTATGCTTTTCCTCTTGGATGTCAGGGTGAAGGCATAAATTTTGCTGATATCAATAAGTCTTATGTATATCCATTAATATATGGCAAATCTGCCAAGAGACGAGTTCTAAACACTTTGTAGAAGACGAAGAAAGGTATCTTAAAAACATAAGCATCAATTCCACAATTCTTGTGTTTTCCCTTACAATATGGACTTGTAACTAAGGCACTGTGAGTTGTTCAAAAATTGCAATTCAGGCTCATTGGATAAAAACAAAGGCAAGGGGAAAATTGTTCTTTGTGAAAACACTGATGATGAATTTTTAGTCCAAGAAAATGAAGGTTCCAGCTCATCCAGCTCCATCAGAAGGTTATCCAATAGCTGACTCTACTACCCAGTAGCCCATGCCAGTAGCCACCCTATGGACGACTTGTTGGTGGACTGCAGACGTCTGAACTTTGACAAAGCTTACCAAAGCTTTAAATGTGTTCCCTCCCTTCTTGACTTATTTGGCCAGAAAACTCCCTATAAATAGGAAGCTTAGTGAAGGCCAAAAGTATGATTTTTAGATCAGTGAGGAAGAAACAAAGAGAGCGAGATTCGAGAGAGATCTCAATGAGAATTTTTGTATTTTATTTTTAGAGTGAAATAGAGATATCCTCTTTGTTTATATCTTGTTTGTGGTATTTTTCTGGCCCCGCGTAACCAACAAGTGGTATTAGAGCTTCGATTGGGTCGCCAAAAATTTTCAAACTCATTGTTTTTGGTTCGTACGGGTTCTAAATGAATTTGAAATCAAATTCTGAGCGCACCATTGGATTCCTCTCGTCGAAATGAGTCAGACCCCATTGGCCTTGCATCAATCCGACATCATACGGGCTCTCACGGTCCTCGCCGGAAGTTCGTCAGAAAATTCACCGGCAGTCGGAGTTACTGTCGGAGCTCACGGGAGATTTCTGAAGTTGCTGCCGGAAGTTCGCCGAACTGGTGACCAGAACAAGGTTGAAGACGACGAAATATTCCACTCTGTCAAAGCATATTCCACTCAGAGAATATTCCCAAAGCATATTGATAGGAATCGGATTATATTTCGTTATAGTAGGCGTAGACGTAAAGATTATGAGTTATTTGTCATTATACTTTTCAGGGGTTTAGTTGTCATTATGACTATTTATTTCTTTTAGAGTTCTTTTAGGATTTGTGGTCTCTCTCTCTCTC